ATTCCATATACATTTGTCTATCCTTACTCTACACAAAATGCACTCCAGTGGGCGTGTGTTGTACCCGAGCATTGTCTGCATATGCTAGTGTGAATGACTCCTTATAGAGTGTGCCGAGCTGAAACCCATACCAGCCACATTTTCTTACACTGGAATCACATTAGCTGGCAATTTCTGACTTGCTGCTATGATTTGCTGCACTTTAAACATTACAAATACAGTCTGTGCTGCTTTCCTGAATAGACCCATATAACACCATCCACCGATGCAAACATCCGCCACCAAGAAATAACAGCAGCGGGATGAGAGTCTAGCTGTGAGAGGTGGTGACTCCTCTTTGTTATAACACAGGTTGGTTAGAAGACTCCGGAAGCATTCCATGAGCTGTAGAAAAATCCTTTAAACTAATAGCGATGGTCACAGGGGGTTCCGTTTCTTCTCTGGCTCTACACAATGAAATCATCGAGATAGAACAACACAGCCTATGATGGTTGCACGGTGACTTCCTGAGCATTAACCGAGTGTAAGGCATCATTCGCAAAGGTGATTAGGGCCGTATAGCACCAAATATCAGCGCATTTCTGCAGCTGGGATCACTGGTGTATGCAATCAGCCACGGCCAGGAAACCTGTACAAATCAATGACAGGCCAACAGGAGCTGCCACTGTCTGCATGTTACTGCACATCAAGCAGTTACACGCAGCTAGGAATGAGGGGTCCCTTGGCTCTAACTGTCCACGTCCGGGGCTGCCCCCTCTGTCCGCATCCGGGGCTGCCCCCTCTGTCCGCATCCGGGGCTGCCCCCTCATCAATATACAGTAGATCACATTCTGCAGCAAAAGTACTTGGATTGAACAACTGACTTGTTAAGCTGGATGTTGACAGCAGGGCTACAAAAAGTTGGACATTCCGCCCAAAAGTCGAGCATCCCAGCCGTTTCGGCTGAGCTGTAGCAGTCTTTGAGCTAATAGAAAGGAGAGTTAAAGGTTTCCGAACAGAGAGAACCCCATGGAAAGGCTTTCCACGTTCAGTCTACAAGTGGAAAAGCGCTTTATTATCAACCTCTATTGCTATTTTCCTGTGTTCCAACCACAACCCACAAGTACTTGGAAGACCCGGGAAAAAAAATACAACCACCAACCTGTCCACACTCCAGGACATCCTGCCACTTACAAATTACCTATTCAGTGCTCACAACTGTTTTCTACATTGAAACCGGTTATAATTCCCTAAGAATGTTTCCAGAATGCTCCATGTCGTATAAAGTGTAAAACAGCAGTGTGCTTTATGACCTGTGATATTTCTGGACAAGTCAGAATTTTTTTCCTCCCAAGCATAAAAAAAAAAAAAAAATCAGCATAGCGGCATAAAACTACATTTAGTTCCGAAATGCTGTGTTATATAGAGTGGAGTGCGCCTAGAACTGCCAACAGCACTCCGCGAGCAGCTCCTTCAGATGTCTGATCTGCAATGTAATTATATTAACACAAGCAGCACCGAGTCTCCGGCCCCCTGACACTTGCAGCACAGAACTCAAGCCATGGTGTCAATGAAAACTCAACGAAGTCTGTAATGTAAAAAACAAGACTCCTCAATCCCTCACCTTGTCCCACAGGACAGCACAAAGCAGGAAGGCCAGTGACCAGTTAAAGTTATGTAGTATTAAATAGACACATGTTTATATTTTATGCTGTATTACTGTTGGATTTCCTGTAAACCTCAACGCAGCATGTGTGAAACGTTCATTCATTACACAGAAGCCAATGAGAACTCCAGGAAAGACGCAGGACTCAGCAATATGCATGCAATCGGTAGCCATGGACCTGTGCCTGCTTTATGTGTTTTGATCGCTTTTTGGAAGAGAATGTTTTATAATGTTTTGGGCTTGTTGTAGGAAATGAAGCTCGTCTCCACGTCTCCCTGCTTCTGTGTGTTCTGGATAAACTTAAAACTACAGCCAATGCAGTTCCAAGCAGTAAGTTGGGCCAACATTTAAAAAAAGAAGAGAAAAATAAATATATTTATTAGGGATGCACCGATGTATTGGCCGCCGAAACATATCAACTGAAAATTGCACTTTTCGCGAAATGCCAAAAGTGCCGTTTTCTTGCCGATATAGCGGTGCATCCGTTCTTTCTCTCCTCCCCGCTGGGTGCTGCTGTGTCCCAGCAGTGAGGAGTGAAACTGTGACAGCCGACCAAGCGCTGCAGGAGGAGAGCGCTGTGAGCGGCTGGCGTCTCTCCTCCCCGCTCAGCCTCATGTCACATATTAGAGGAGAGCAGTGTGGGCGGAGACAGCCAGCGATGTCACAGGAGGCGGAGCTCTCCTCCCTGCACCCCTCTCTCAGCCTCCTGTGACCGCTGTCAGGAAGGAGAGCGCCGCGGTACAAACACTCGGCAAGAGCGGTACAAACACTCGGCAATCAGTGATCAGTGAGTGTTTGGAGATAATTGAGGACATAGTATGTTTACTATATCCTCAATTATGAATGAATCTACATCACCTCCTGCCCATTCATGATTGTGGATATAGTAAACACACTCTGTCCTCATGTTATGAATGAACAGGAACACTCAGTATAGAGGATTCCTGTTCATTCTATTTTAAAAAGGGAAATATCAGGGGTCTGTGTAGACCCCTAATATTTCCCCAAAGTCTCTAAAAGCAAAGTCAAAAAATACAAATATTTATTAAAAAATGAATACAAGTATTAAAACATTAATACGTTTATAAAAATAAAATATTTTTAAAAAAATTGAAAAATTTAAAATAAAAAACATTTTTGGTTTCCGCCTGACTTTTTTATATTTCGGTTTTAAAATTTTCATTTAGTTGCACCTCTAATACATATATCTATCTATATCTTAAGAGAAAGGTTTTTTTTTAGGTTGTCATACGTGTGCAGTGAACAAATTGTATTTGACACTCCCAGCTCGCCCCCCTGATGGACTTCAATCACAATACAAATGAGTAAACTAAACATGAGATTGTAGTCCATCGCAGGAGTGAGCTTGGAGCGGTGGCTACTTTGCAACACACACAGAGACCATGGGGAACAAAAGTAGCCCCCCTCTAGAAGGAAGGACAGTGTCAGCACCAATTCAGAGATGATTTGAGGATCTACAGCCGAGTGATACACAAATAATGTACAATTTTTGTTAATAGTTAAAGGAGAACTATGAGGTGAGTGCTTTTCACTCACCTCATAGTTCTAGCCGACCTGTGACAATGAGACTGTAGATCGGGAGGTGAGCGAACACATACCGGCGTTCGCTCACCTCTCGATCCTGTCACGGCTCTCTGCTGTGACAGGGGAGGGGCTGGATTCCCCCCTCCCCGCTCCGATCCGCCAGCGCTTACTGGCGGAACGGACAGGGGGCGGGTACAGCTGGCTCTGCCTCTAGATAGGCAGAGCCAGCTGTCAGTCACTCACCTGGGCGGATCCAGACATAATTGTCGGGATCAGCTTCAGCGTCTTAGTAACTGCGGCGTCTCAGTATACCGCGGGCTACAGCTCGCGGTATACTGAGCCTAGGGTGACGGGAGGACGCTAGTTTGTGTCCTCCCGTTACCCTAAGGAAAACTATGGGGAAAAGCCTTAACCCCATAGTTCTCCTTTAAAGGTACTTGAGTAGATATTTAATTCCTGAGTTTAGTGTCACTTTAACTCCAAGACTCCTTTCACAGAGTAAAGCTAAATAAAACAAGCATTAGGTAAAAAGTGCAGAATTAGGACAACTTAAGTTAAGCTGAACTCTGGGCAGAAATATTCTCAAAGAATTGATTTTTGTATCAGTAGTCACCTTGAAAGCCCCATCTATTTTTAGTCAATATAGTTTTGTATTTAGGTAACTAGGCACTGAGAAATCACCCCTTGACTGATTCATTTGAAATGCTTCTGTCCCATTTATTTATATGTAGTAAGACCAGTGGCCGCTAAAGCTGGCCATACACTGCACCTATTTTGACTTGATAAACTGGCCAACATTTGTTCAGTGGGTGGACCAGTCACCACTTTTCGGTCCAGCATCCTTCGATCAGAAAAACAGAGCCGGATGGAAAATTTTTGGCTGCCCAATGGGCTGCCATCACTGTTTAGCAATGCAACAACCTAGCAGGAGTTTGTCCGTCCATACTGTTCAGCGTGTATGGAAGAATCTGATATATTTCTTTTGTTCAGCCTGCAGATTGAACAAAAGAAAATTATAACAGCGTATGGCCACCTTAAGTCCGCTATTCTTCTGGCCACCAATTTTGTAATATCCCCTCGGAAGTTCACGTTTAATGAGCGGTGACATAATTAATGGTGCCGCTTGCTGTAGTGAGTGAACCTGGGGGGGTACCCATTGTAATTGCATTGTCTGATGGATAGGCCAGGAGACTCCTGGTCTGCCGATCCCACCATGATTTCACAGTGTGAGGATCTACAGCCGAGTGACACACAAATAAGGTACATTTTTGTTATCAGTTCAGGTACTTGACTGTAGGGATGGACCGATACCCGTTTTTCGGTATCGAGCACCGATATTTTTTTTTCGGTTCTCGCCGATACCGAGTAACTGATTCCCATTCAGGAAGCCAGGGAGGTTGTAATCACTCGCCACCTGGCTTCCTGATTAGCTGGGAAGCCTGGCAGCGTGTAAAGACTCGCCACCTGGCTTCCCTATTAGCAGGGAAGCCGTCCCCATGCTTCTCGTCCCTAGGTGATGAGAAAGCATGAAGCTGGCTTTCTAGACAATAAGGAAGCCGGGCGCTGTGTAATAACGTTATGAGGTGACGAGGGAGCATGAAGTCGGCTTCCCGGCCAATCAGGAAGCCTGATACCGGAAGTACTCGCCATCGGCACCGATACTAGTATCGGTACCAGTGCATCCCTACGTGAATGCATTTTTAAGAGTAAACTCCTGAATTTAGTGTCACTTTAAATCAGCTATTTATTGGAAGCATAACATCTTCAACACATTCCATCCACCATAGTCTTAACAAGAGAAGATTTTTACCTTATTGTATCGTTCATGTGGCACCGACTGTAACACAATAGGCTCCATCGTGGCAACATTTGCAAACTGGACCTCTGGAATATATAGTGCACAAACCACGTGAGCCCAACCTGGAACAGAGTGAAAACAGCAACATGTCAATACAGTTTCTTATGCAGGTGATGCAATTTGCACGGACGTATTTATTCTTACACAATTCCTTTATAAAATGTAGCACATTTCACAGCATTATACTGAGAACAAGGAACCAATCGCGTCAGATCCTGGCCCAGATGGATTAAAGGGAAAATACATAGTTCAACATGATCAAAACCTGATTAACCAGAATGTTTTTGACCCCCCTGGGAGGAAACCGGAGCACCTAGAGGAAATCCACACAAAGTGAACATACAAATTCCACAAAGATAATGTCACTGGTAGGGATTAAAGGCAAACACCAGTACTACAAAGCATCAGTGTCAAGTAATAATGTCGATGGGCTTGGAGCAAATCCAGTTCACCCAAGCCTACGTAAAACTGTGACCAGTTTGCCGACCCGATCAGATGCGGCATGTGCATACTGCACCCAGCAGCTACGTCAGAAAGGGGCAAAGAATGCCCCTGCCGCAACTGCTTGGATCAGAAGGGGGGGTTAGTTGGTCGGTTTTGCGTGGGCTTGGCTGAACTGGGTTTGAATCAAGCCCCAGCTCATCACTAGTGCTAACCACTAAGCCACTGTGGTGTCCATTGTCCACCTACACAGCAGACCGAAAGCTGGCCGGTCTAAGACCCAAAGCAGACTAGTGATCCAGTCGCTGGATAAAAAATTACCAGCAACAGGATGACAAATGTAACCCTTACCTGCTACCATTGCCATCCCTCCCTTGCTGACCTGAGGCTCCTTTCACACAGAACAGTTTTCCGCGCATATTTGGCCGCATGAACACGCATGGAACCGCTCTAACTGAAAAAAAAAACAATGCATGTTAATGTGCATTGTTCAGACTTTTGCGTCGGCTGTGCGATACAAAACCACGCGTCGCGCAAAATAGTACAACCACGGCTTTATGGCGGATTCCACACGTTTTGGCTATGTTAATAGCTGCAAACCTGCAGAATACACACGTTAAAGTTTGCGCGTTTTCGTTCTGCGTGCGGACAACTCTACTGCTATGTGTGAATGGAGCCTAAATGGTGCACAATCTAGCTATAGTCAGGAGTAGAGCAGCAGCTAACGATTATTTTCAAAATCGATTAGTTAGCCGATTATTAAGTTCGATTAATCGGTTAATCGGATAAAAAATACATTTTAAAAAATGGTTCCAGTGATGGGACTTCTACTTTGTATTGAGAATGCAGCAAGCTTGGAGCGGTGGAAGTAAAAAAGAAAAAAAAAGTGTGGTGTGCAATATAGTGAAATGAAAAGTGTAAAATTATACAGCAATGAATGCAGAATGGAGTAAATCTCTCTAAGAAATGGCAGAAAATCCTCAAAAGGGGTTCTAACCTTTCCCCACTATATCCAAAAACAACATTTGGTTGGACATACACAAGTATGTAGACAATATTGTAGTGTTATCAACATAAAAGTGGAGGTTAATATTTGAAAAATGGGTCCCGTGTGCTCTTGGTTCAGCTTGGTCACTAACAGGTTTGATGGTGGTCCCCTTTTCCTGATGACCGTGCCACAATGGTGTCATTCACCTCCATATTACTACAGCCATGGCTTATTTCGTGCCTAAGGACTACCATCCAAGGAACAACGAGTCTGCAGAATTTGCTTCCAGTTTGCCAATTTCAACAGCATCTCTAAGCATTTGGCTCCAGTACAAATCTAGACAAAAGGCAGCAAATTAAAATACACATTGTACAAGGCCCCTTGAAAATGTTTGCCACCCCGGGCACCTTCCACCAGCCCTTCCATTATAATTAAAAGCGAGAAGTGCCCTTTAAAGCAAGGATGGCAGGAGGGTGTTGAGCTGGTACTGCCACTTTAAATAAGCTTCAATATGTTGGATTATGAAGAAAATCAGCTTTAAGTCATAATGTGTGTGCTGTGCCTCCCAGAATGGGCTATTGTGGTCGTGCCAGAAACGGCAGCAGCAGATTTCTGACTACTTTAATAGCCAACATAATTCCGCGCAACTTGACCAGCGTCCAACTTCCAGTCCCCGAAGGTAAATGGGGCCTTCAGCGGCTAATGCAAGAAGTCTATATACTTTTCAGCGATCTATTAAGACACGGGAGATTGTCTAGTGTAATTCACTTACACTGGGAGAGAGAAAATAAAATGATTTCTGGATGAGAAAAATAAAACGCTAACAAAAATGAAACCAATGTGTAAAATGTACCTGCACCGGGAATTGGAACCGACAAACATACATGGTTAAGCTTGTGCGTGTTAAAAGCCTATTATACACTTTGTACCGCTTATCCCAATAACAGCAAATATATGGCAATGAGCAGCAAAGTGTTCTCGTTCTCTGAGCGGCTTGCTCAGAGTGAGGGCATATGTTCACATTTGAGCGGTGTGATTGGTTAAGCATATTTTTAAGTTATTGTTATTATACAGGATTTATAACAGTTTGCGCAGCGCTTTACAATATAAGGAAGACATTACAATCACAATACAATTCAAGACAAGATGGTAAGGAGGGCCCTGCCCCTGAGGGCTTACAATCTAAAAGGTTCAGCAGTTAAGATTGATTTATAAAAGTGTATTTCCACTTTTGCAGCCGAAATTGGGATAACGCCTAGTCTAGGCCCCTTTCATGCAATTGGTACCGCCTGTCAGTTTTTCAGGTGGACCTGATGGGATACCCATTGCTAGTCTAAGTGCAGCTGGGTCTAAACGGACGGGTGTCCATTTACACGTTGTTACCCCCAATTCCAGCAAAGTCCAGAAAAGCAAATGGAACAGTGCCCCCATTTTGACAGACCCGATCATGCCGGATCGGGGGTAATCGAATGTAAAGGGACACATGCCTGTTTACATTTGATTTCCCATAGACCGACATGGGGTCCGGTCATTCCATCCCCTATTGCAAAGTGGAGGAAAAATAACTGGACAGACAACACCTTTTAAAAAAGGGTTTAAACTTACCTGTGTCTCCGCCGCGCGCTTCCATCCGAACATCTGAGTCTTGGGCGGCCGCAAACGATGTTGGGGAGGGCGCATGCGCAGTTCAGATGTTCGATTGGGAGACGAGGAGAGACACAAGTTAAGTATATTGAGCAATGTGCACCCGCACAGACACCGTGGGACATCAGAGAAGGAGGAGGACAGAGGAGTCAGCGCTGGATCAGAAAACCCGCACCAGCGCTGGAGGGACAGCTAAAAAGGACGGTAAACAAGAAGATCGGATTAAGAGACATCATTTAAGGTAAGTCCCTGCAGCAGGATTGGGAAGGGGGAAAACAAGCTTGACTTTAATGTCACTTTAAGTAGCAGGAGAGAAAAAAAATTGGAAAACGTGTAAGAAAAAAAAATGATTGTGTATCATGGCACACGAATAACAACGGCAGGTATACACGTTACACGGATAATAACATCGGCTATACATGGTACACCGATAACACCGGGTATACATGGTACACGGATAATAACACCGGGTATACATGTTACACGGATAACAACACCGGGTATACATGTTACACGGATAATAAGCGCCGGTATACATAGTACACGGATAATAAGCGCCGGGTATACAGGGTACACAGATAATAAACGCCGGGTATACATGGTACACAGATAATAACGCCGGGTATACATGGTACACGGATAATAAAACAACGGGTATACATGGTACAAATATAATAAACGCCGGGTATACATGGTATACAGATAATAACGCCGGGTATACATGGTACACAGATGATAACGCCGGGTATACATGGTACACGGATAATAACGCCGGGTATACACACGGATAATAACAAAGCACAAAGTATCTAAGTAAAGACATAAAAATGTGCTGACTCAAAGGTTGTCTTGTGACCGCCGGCCTGCGCTAACCTCTGAATGAGAAACTATGACATGTACAAACACTGCTCGGCTGTTCCCTGGCCTCATACCAGACAGGCACACGTGGTAAATCTTGGTGAAAAGCTGTCACAAGGAATGCAGTTACACAGCATTCCTGATCCGCAGCCAGATGGTTCGGATTTCACTAACAACTTTTGTGTTGTAACAATCCTCCCCCCACCAGCTTCCCAGCCAGCCGCATGGAAAACACGGAAGGAACTCTCCGAAGGATTTCCACCGGATCTGCGCGCTCCCCTCTGTCCTCCTTGCACCCACAGATCCCAGCAGAAAGGAAACTCTCCCAGATCTGCTCTTACCAAAAGAAAGAAGCCCCTTCACTGCACAACCATTAAAGATCCGGGCACAAAAACGTTCATCGAAATATATTCCTCAATAGCCACCAGGGATAGAAATCCACTCAGCTGTGGGAGGGGCCCAGAAAACTACAGGAGGGGTGGAGACTAGACCAGTCACCCTGCACAAGAGAGCAGCAGTGACCGGTCTTGCACAAAGCCAAAGTCTCCCACTGGATTACTGCACAGATCTGGAAGAAATACACAAAGCACACCAAGATTCACAGAAGAATGCACACGGCTCTTGTATTTATTTGTTTATCCCGGAGTTCAGCTTTAACATGACAGCAACAAATGCCTCTGAAAGGCACAGAGGTAGGTAGATGGGTGCACTCAACAAATAAAGTTTGGTTTATTTGTTCTTTTAAACAAACTAGACAACGTTGTGTCTAATGGGAAAAAGTTATTCCCAAGAAGTCTGTTTGAGAGACGTCAACAATCTTTAGAATACCCGAGCATATTTTTTTTTTAATTTGGACAGAGAGGGAAGGATTAGAACCCCGGCTAAACCTAACCTCAATCTGGCGTTCCGGTAGAAAGAATTAACCTAATTGTCATGGTGACAATAGCTTCAGAAGACAGAAAGTGAGGAAATACACACCAAATAATTTTTTTTTTTTTATGGTTCCTTTCCCGGTGATCCCCCACTTCCCGCCTCTGTTCCAGGTGCTCCCCCACTTCCCGTCTCCGTTCCCGGTGATCCCTCACCTCTCGTCTCCGTTCCCAGTGATCCCCTCACCTCTCGTCTCCCTTC